GAGGCTTACTTCTATAGCTCAAGCTCGGGACAAGGAGAGGACACCAGGCTGGGATAAAATATTATTAGAACGATCGGTATTACATGAAACCTAATTTAGAATCTTTTGTCTCGAAATCCTGCGTTGTGATCAAATAGAAACTAACTGTAGCAAAGCAAACAAAGAAAACACAGGGAGGTATGTGAGTGGTTGGCGGGTGCTCTGGAGTTTTGGTTTGCTCCTTCTTTCCTATCAAGCATCTTTTGTCCTTATTTCTCCTCCATCTTTTCTTTGTATTTTCCCCCCTGGAAACACCTCTAAACGTCAGCACTTATGTGGCCTGATTGTGTAGCAAGTGCCGAAGAACCTTTACAAAATACAAAACAAACCAACGACAAACAGTAAATAAACTGGAAAGGTATAATTTTAAAAGACGGCCTGTCACCTTGACGGAAAAGTCGGCGGACAGGTCGGGGCAACGAGAACACAGATGGGCCCAAGTCTCGGGGGACGTGCGCCTCTCCGGCCGGCCCATGTAGTGAGCCAGCACTCGGATCTTCCTTAGCTTCCCGCATAGATTTTCCGAGAAAATGTACATGACATCATCGCTGAGGTATTGATGGTTTAAGTCGATTTCTGAGGAACAGAGAGAAGTTGAACGTTCTATTAAAACAGACGAAAACGCTGGGTTGTTTTAGTAACTTTGCTAGGAGCCAAAACAACTCGGGCAGGCAGAATGGCATTAAGAGACAAAGCCTTTTGGTGCATGCAGAAAGGTCCTAGAAGCAACGTCCAGCTACTGGAAAAGATGAGAAAAAGAAATCTGTAGTATCGAGGATGTTAAGTGGATTTATTATCAATTGCCATACCAGCTTCTGAGGTCCATCCCGTGTCTTTTTATTCAGTGCATTTTTTGTCGGAAAAGTTTCAAGTGCACCGACGTCTGTGATGCAGTGGTTAGGTGCTTCGGTGTCTCACACAGGTAGAATTTTTATAGAGTACCTAGGTCTATCCCTCTCAAACCTGGCTGATCTTTACTGGCAGGGTGGAAGCCCTTAATTATTTGCATTCTAAAATGTTGTTGTCAGGGGCGTAAAATATCCACATTTTTTAAAAAGTTACATGTGCAGGGTCCGTTTGTTCAATTGCGAAAAGTTAGTCTCAAGACTATTGTGTGCATGGCAACCAGGAGATCGATAGTGATGGTGCTAGGTGAGCCATCCTTCTGAGAGTTTACCGCAAAGTAATCTGTACCTATTAGAAAGTAAAGTCAAGAAACACCGAACAAATTACATGTACAGTGAAGCGAAATGGTGCCGGGCACTTGGACCTCCAGTCCACTGCTTTCCCTGAGGACATAACCGTGGTTAAAACGGACCTGGATTTGAGCCCGTCGAGTCAAAGTTTTCTAGAAAAGGTGAAACCTTAGGAAACCGGGTCACAGGTTTCTTGCCACAGTTACGTAGAAAATTGCACAAGTTCGTGAGTCAACTGCAAGAGGGCACCATGGCTTTTACCTTACCTGACAAATTAGTAAATACTGTCAGGACGGACAGGAAGCGCGGGTTTGCGGCCATGTCATGTCGTGGCGATGTCGTGGCGAAAAGGTCAGACACATCCAGGAGACTCAGAATAGAGCCCGAACTGAGACCTGCGCTAACGAGGAGGCGAAGACCTGAAACAGAACGTTTTTAGTAAGAATTTTAGGGCACTTGCAACACAATAAGGTCACTTTGGTGTCGAAGATTAGAAGTGATACAAGAGAGTAAGAAACACAAAAAGGAGGAGAAATAAGGACGATAGATGCTTTAAAACAAAGAAGGTGAAAACCACATAGGAGCACCCGCCACCCTCCCATCCACAACAGTTTTTATTTTATTTATTTGTTTATTTATTTATTTATTTTTATTTTGTAAGAAAATCACGGTAAAGTAATGGTGTGTGCTCATAATACTAATCGCACCCTCTCTTAACCCACTTTAAGAACGCATATTACAGGTCACAGGACAACGCTTGAAGACGCGCTGCTCATTCATACCGATTTTACAGTTTTATTATTTTAACCGGAACTTTTAAAAAATGCAAGAAACAATATGCATACAATGAAATAAACAAATTCGTGTTTCTGTTTTGTATAATAATATGGTAGCTCGAAATGTGCTGGACATGTTACGTGTCTTTTGGAAGCCACTGTAAGCTTTGCAGATGCAGTGGCAACGCAAAGCAAGTGATCGTATTAAGAAAAAGAATGGAATGTAAAAAAAATAAAATAATAGAAACAGGTTATATGAGAACATAATGTAAATGAATTTGTCGCCAATGTGCTGGCATGAATCAAGATGGTCGAGCCTCAGCTCGGCTCAACATTGTGTCCTTGGGAAAGGCACTTAATAGGAATTTCCAATTTGGCTCGATCCTTTCGGAGATGGACGTTAAACTCGGAGGTCCCTCCTCTAAGATAATAGTAGAAAGGGGCGTTAAACCTATTCTATGTATTTCGCATTTTGGTAACCATATTCGCACCAAGGATGTTATTAGGTCCATGCTTCGCACATGTCGTCTAGCACTGCCGGACGTTCCAGCTCCTGTATGATATAACACCTTTCGGACTGAGTGGAACTCAGATCTGAGCTGAGATCGGGCACCTTCAAGACGGACGGACGGGGGGGGGGGGATTTATTTTGCCTCCAAGACAATATTTAAATTTAAATTTAAACCAAAAGGTTTGAAATGCAAATCTAATAAACAAATTAAATAGTATTATTATGAAATGGTCAACCAAAGATAAAGAACTACACGCTGCCCTGTCAGGCACTCCTGGTCCTACACACCGTGATCTGGTGAGAGCCGTGCGCCCCGCAGGCTCAGAGAATCGAGTTGCGTCTGCACTTCGAGGAGGTTGGTCAGCAGAGTGACCACATCATGGTCAGGCCGTGACAAATAGCGCGCCAAGCGCCGCATGTTGGTCACATTCAAGGCGGTCAGCCGGCAGTTCTTAGCGTTCACCAGGCAACGGAAGAAGTATGCTAGATTGTCAGCAGACCCGACACTTTTGTCAGCTGGGATGTCAGAAGCTGTAGAGAGAAAGGCACCAGCTATAGGCATCTTGGAGGACTGGTTTTCTTGATGACAAGAGAAAAACCTCAAGGGAAAAAAAAGAAATTTTGCTGTGGAGCGTAGGGTCCTTCGACAACAACAAAAAACGAGCTTTTAGGAAATATGCCAATGAAAGTAACAAAAATTTGGACCCCCCATAGATTCAAACTTTGGTTAGTTCGTAGCCATCTGTGCCTAGGCAGCAGGACGAATGCCCACTTTTTTGTTTCCAAAAACATGCCAACGGATACCAATCACACACACACACACACACA